GAGAGAGAGAGAGAGAGAGAGAGAGAGAGAGAGAGAGAGAGAGAGAGAGAGAGAGAGAGAAATACAAAACCTTCACCCACAACCATACACACCTAAGCAACACATTTATCCAATTAATTTCAGTTGTTCTAATTCATTCCCCAAGTGGTATTTCAATGCAAAGTAGCACCACAAATGTGCAAATCCTTGGCATAAAAAGAAGGAGTGATGATCTGGGACTTGGTCCCAAATACCAAATATTTATTTGTGTAAACATGAAGGGGAGTGGAATCTATCACATAAAGGTGAGTTTGAAAAGTCACCTTTTTTAAAGTCTCTGTACAAAAGAAAGAGATATGAAATCCCAGTATGTTACTTTCCTGACAAGATGTCCTAGAGAAGGTAGACATTAGTCTCACTTTAGCAAGGAGAAAAAAATATATATATATGATGAGATCTGGTTAACTGAAACCCTCTCTCTGATTAAAAAAAGATCCCAAACCATGTCACTTATTTGCATGTTGGGTCATTTTCAGTAGTTCACAATGGTGTATTCAGACACTTTTCCAGAGAGGCTTCTTTCAGCATTTTTCAGCTTTTCAATGTAGCTTAAACCCCAGTTTCAACCTTGCGTGAAAGAGAAGGCCAGACACACTTTCAGGGATAAGACCTGTCCATTACCTGTCTGTTGCTGCGAGGCAGGCGCGCTAACCGCACGCCCGACATGTCGAACAGCCTCACTTGGCGGTTGTCGTGTGGAAGGGCAATGATCCTTTGGCCAACACATACGTTAATCCTGGAGAGAAGAGACAAAAGCAGGTTACGTACAAAACAGTCTGGCAAAGAGTTTTTGACAGTACAGGTTTAAGTGATATAGACAATTTCTTCAACGTAAATTTTGCAAGTAAAATTAAGTGTTTTAAATCACATGTTTTCTGTGGTACCAGATGCTCAAACAGGCTTAACCCTCGTACTACATACACAAGTCTCAGGAAAACAATATGATCCATCTGATAAAAACGCATTGTGTATTTTATGAAACAAGTTCAAAGCTTGTTAAAAATGTAATAAATGTCACTGTACAACATTAGTCACCAAATTAAATCTCTCTTCAGTGAATTAAGACCAGAAAACGGTAACTCAGAAGCCTGCTTACCTGTTGACTGCAGAGTCTGTACGGATAGTTGCAATAGGAGACCTCATGTTCTTCAAGTCCCAAACTTTTACAGTACGGTCATCACTTCCTGAAACAACATTGTCTCCCACGGTGAAAACTGCTGATGTTACAGTGCTAAACATTTGGGAAGAAAAACAAGGTCAAGCTTTAAAAACTCACATTAAACTGACACCCAATTTGAAGTCCTTTGCATTCCCTTGAAGTGTTTAGCTTGCCTTTTTTTTTTTTTTTTTTTTTTTTTTTTTTTTTTTTTTTTTTAAGTACCTTGAAACATTAAATTATAAAGTGAGGACTTCAGAACATAATACATTCTTCCACGAAGCCCTTCTCTTAAAGCCTGCAGGCCTACCGGCCAAAGCGCTAAGAAAAACAGCCCAGCAGAAAGGAGTGCCTCTGGAGGACTTCTCACATTCTATTTGTCTTAATATGAACTAAATATAACACAATACTCAATAGTTCTTATTAGGGCAAACATTCATAGTTCAGTTTTGAGGCTTTAATTCACTTAGATAGCAATGCTCAGCAAGCTATTCAGGAAAGCAAAACAGAATCAGTAGCCAACAGTAAAATTTTCCTCCTTATGTCTTTTGACATCTGTAATCAAATTTCTGTGATTTCACTGAATCCTAATGGTTAGAAAAGACCTTCAGGATCAGCAAGTCCAACCCTAAGCCCTTCAACACCATTCCCATTAAACCACTTCCCTAAGCTCCTCATCTACATGTTTCTTGAACACCGCCGGGGACGGAGACTCCACCGCTTCCCTGGGCAGCCTGTTCCAATTCTTCATCACTCTCTCCATGTAAAAATTCTTCCTCCCGTCTAACCTGAATCTCTCCTGGCACAACTTGAAGCTGTTTCCACTTGTTCTATCTGTAGTTGTTCTGGAGAAGAGATGGACTCCTTCCTCACTACAGCCTCCTTCCAGGTAGTTGTAGAGGTCACCCTTGAGCCTCCTCTTCCACAGACTTCTCCCTCCCTCAGCCACCCCTCATGAGGTCTGCTCTCCAGCCCCTTCTCCAGCTTCGTTGCCCCACTTTGGGCACGCTCCAGCACCTCAGTGTCCACCCTGCAGTGAGGGGCCCAAAACTGAACACAGTATTCGAGGTGCGGCCTGACCAGTGCCGAGTACAGGGGGACGATCACTGCCCTGGTCCTGCTGGCTACGCTGACCCTGACACAACCCAGGCTGCCGGTGGCCCCTGGGCCACCTGGGCACACGGCTGGCTCGTGCTCAGCACCCCCAGCTCCTTCTCTGTGTGCAACCCTCCAGTCGCTCAGCCCCATGCAGCGTCGCAGGCCTGGGGCTGTTGTGACCAAAGCACAGGACCTGGCACTTGGCTTTATTGAAACTCAAACAGTTAGTCTCAGCCCATTGATCCAGCCTGTCCAGATCCCTCTGCAGAGCCTTGCTACCCTCAAGCAGATCTACTCCTCCTCACAGCTTGGTGTCGTCTGCAAACTTGCTGAGGGTGCCCTCAATCCCCTCATCCAGATCATCAATAAAGATTTTCCAAAATGTTTTTTTATTGTTAAGTTACCTCAGGCATTTATATTACTCACCACACACACACACAACACAGACACGGGAGAGAGCCAAAATTCATAATTTGAGACTAACTCATTTCTATTTTGATTACATAGCTAAACCCGCACATAGCCAGACACTTAGCCAGAGCTGCAAGCACAGAAGCTCTTCTAGCAGTAACTCTCAGTCTACTCATTTCTAACATCCTTATTCGACAGGTATCTAAAGACTAACATGCAGACATGAAAATCTGCAAGTTCTCCTATCAGGTAGCACGACTAGCCAGACAGAGAGACTCCCAAGAAACTTCCTGATGACTTTAAGTGCAACATGCTGCTCTCAGGAAGGATTAAACAAAGAATTTTGTTACAGGAATATAACACTGTTCAATGTCATTGAATAATTCTCATGATGAGGAGACAAGGGGTTTTTTTTTATATACATTTTTATACATTTTATGTACTGCTTCATATTAAGCCATTAAAGTTTCTGTACTTTTAGTACCTTTAGTACTACATAAGCTCTTGATAAAAAATGGGAAAAAAAGCTTATTTCCTGCATACCTGATGTGCTAACAAAGCATCTTCATCTCTCCCCAAGATCACTCAAAAGGTTTCTCACCTCTGTTTCTGCAGATTTGATTTAATGACCTACATGGTAACTTGGGTTATGCACATCAATTTCTTAGAATTTAGTAACTCTTAATTTAAGTTGTCAGTTGTTACTGTCATTATGGTTGTTTGCAAAAATTTGAATTCATGTCCTATCCAAGCTGCTGATTGAGATTAACACTAGCCAGGTCACAACGGACCACTTTATGCAACCCTCTTAATTTAAACTGACACCAAATTAAGTTTTAATTAGGATGAAGGTCCACTTTATTCATGATACCAAGTTTCCTAATGCTTTATTAGAGCGCAGTGTGGCCACCAGGGAGATGATTATAATAGGAACCAAAGGTCTTTGCCTAATCTTCTCAACTTTATGAATCTAAAGTCAAAAAGTTAAGAGTCTATCACGAAAGCCACAACTGATGACTCTCTCACTAGGCACCTTAACACTTGGGTAGCTCTGTCACTTCGCTTGTCTTCCACCCACCTGTGCTCCATAAAACTTGCCAACAACTGCAACTCTCTGCACTAGTTCTTTATCCAGGTTGCAAATACCTCAGGAAAATGCTCAAACTGGAATTTCCAAGCACATCCCCCCCTTATATGCAAACCCTCAATCCCCAAAAAGAGTGTACTGTGGTTGTTCCCAAACTCATTATTAAAATGCAGCATTAAGAAGGACTGAACATCAACAGATAACCAAAGCATTATCAGCTCTAAACACAGCAGGAATTTGGTTATCTGTCAATTTTATCATGTCTATGTTGGTACATTTTTTTTTTTCTGGACTAGAAGACTCAAGAACAACTTCATGCTAAAATTTTCACCCTTGTATGCATGTGAAAGAAATTTCCAAAAATAGGTTAAATTCTGATTGTACTTCAAGCAAAGAGTTTACAAAAATAGATGTGTCTAATATTACCGGTGACAATACCAACAAAAAAAACAACTTAAATTTAAACTTTCTGACTTGCACTGAACTCAGCAACGATGTAACATTTGAAGTAACACTCTCCAAAAGTTTAAAATACAGAGAGATTGAATAATTTTAAACACATACTGCGAGGCTTCCCTGACCACTTCAGCAGAAGGAATCCAAGACAGAGGAAAAAGAAAAATTAATACATAAGATTTTAGCATTCTGATACTAACATAAAGATCTTATTTATCTTTCCATTATATATTTTATTCCAATTATAGTTGTAATATGTTATGAAACCGTCTCAAAATAATCCCCCAGGTTCAAATGCTCTTTCCTCCCACAATTTTAATACAGCTTTAAAACTTATTTGATCTCATGGTTCCTCTTTACCACTTGCCACTGTCAAACACAGTTACGATTTTCTGACCACAAAATCCTCTCATTCTTCAATTTATTGTATTTCGAATGAAAATATTCGAAAGTACTGCCGTGCAAACAGAATGGCAATTCAACCCTTCCTGCTCCTGTTTATAACAGAGAAAGATCTTTTCAAAAGAAAAACATTTCCTTTGCTGTATTTGTTTTCAATTAGATATGAATTTTCACATTACTTGACAAACTAAGTTTATAAATACAATGGGACAAACAACGGCAAGCCAGAAGCAAGACTGCTGCTTTTTTTAGTGACATCTTTAAAAGAAGTTTCTTAGTCCTGCTGGCCACCTACTCCCTGTACAGTTCACGACTGTAAGGCTCTGCAGGCCAGAACTGGCACTAACTGCATGCTCATGTGACTAAATAACAGTTTCTGTGTGGAACACATTCAGTTGATATTTAAACAGATCCACATGTAAGTTCAAGGATGTGTGCAACTATCACCACTAGCTTAAAAAAAATATGTGAGCAAATGCTTTCCTCATCCCTTTTCTTATGCATTACAAATCATACCTTGCCTCCTGTGATATTCCAATTTAAGGCTTCTCCCAAGGTGTGAGATGAATCTCACAAAGATTAAAAAAAAAAAGGCTTTAAGTTAAGAGAAAATAGCAACACAAAAAAATCCACTTTTTACTCTGGAACTAAAACAAGATTTCAGCCCAACTGAGGGAAGAAGGGAAAGAAAATTTGGCAGAGCAGACAATATACAAATAATCTTTCAAAAATACTCCTTTCCTAATTCCATCACAAAAATTAAAAGACTTTTTACTATATTTATTCTCTGTTGATACTAGTTTTCAATCTGTCCCAGGTAAGCTAAAACGGTAGCTAATACCCTCTCAGCTAAATTAATAAGCATCAACAAAAGATCATCAGACTCTGTGTTAATGGAATGCTAGAAGGCATTAGGTTTTTAATAACTCAAAAAGATGACAGGTATTATAGGACATTAAAAAAAAAAAGGAATCTGGCAAAGAGGAAGCAATCTGATGACACTTTAAACTGCGGCTCCCGTGGGGAGCTCGGAGCGCTACCCCGTCCTCCTGGAAAGCTGCAGACTCCGGCAGAGCCGGGCGGCCTCGTTTATCTTGTGGCGGGGAGCAGCGGAGCGAGCGCTTCCAGCTGCCAGCGCCGCCCTCGCTCCCCACGCACCAGCGCCCCATGCGGAACATCCCGCTCCCTCCGTGGGGCTCCATCACGGCACGCCGGCGCTCCTCATTAGGCCCAACAGCTGTCTCGCCCGTCACACTGAGGCACACAAGTGCTTTGCATAACAATCTGCCCACGTTTCGCACGCGGGGAGGAAAAAAAAATGATGCTGGAGATGTTGGACCGTGAAATGCTGATGCAGAACACTCCCTGGCATGCCGTCAAGAAAAAGTTAACGCTGTTCTTGCCACTTTGACGTGCTGCTTATACCAAGATTTGCCATTGAACGTGTAGGATGCAGGAAGGCATCCGCTCGTGAGCACTAATGTGCATGTTGGGGTAGGTTTGGAAAAACTGAACTAAAATAGAACAACCCGAAAAATATATTCAACATACATCTAGCCACAGTTAAACGGTTTTATGGCCTGCATGTGTCTCATTTTAAATAATTACAATATTTTATCTATCCTAAGGGCAGGTATGTTTGGTACAGTCATTACATTACATTTACAATGGGACTAAAAAGTCCATTTCTTCCACATAAAGATGGGTGGAAATATGAAAAAATGCATATATACACACTAGTCCCAGAACTTAAGCTCCTGGCCATAATTTCAGTTAGATTGCACAAAGAATACGCCATATGAAAATGCAGCATTGAAACAACAGCCTTTGAAAGGCAAGTCTGGGGTCATTTCTAGACAAGCTGCAAAAGAAAATAAAAAGAATAAAAACACCTTAGACACCCAGAGGAAACTGAACAACATAGGGCTATTAACTGTAATAAAGTCACCCAATGTTTCAATAAAAAGAATTGCACTACTTCTTATAGGAGTTGGACTCCTGTAGGAGTCCACACCTGGGGAAGAGTCTCAGAAGGTTTCCTTTGAGTAGAAACAACAGGAAAGAGGCAGACAAAGCATCGCTGCTGGTATTAAAAGCTGAAGTAGGAACAGGAGTATTTCAAGAGGAGATGGTTTAAATGGGCTGTACCCTACTGACAGCAGTACATCGTGACATTTAGTCTGGCCTTCTAGGAGTCCTCTCCACAGAGTACAAGTTCATGCCTTTGATTAAAAGTTCAGTGTAGAACTCAGCTGAGCTGCACTTGAACTTCCCCAAGAAAACGTGGCCGAGATCTCCAGCAATCAGAACATCTAACAGAGGCTTTGTTACACTGGGCATATCTGGAATAAGACTACTTCCCAAAGGAGGTGTCTAATGTCTTTGGCGATGGAAAAGGTCAGGGTTTTTTGTTTGTTTATGTGGGTGGTTTTTTTTTTTTTTTTTTTTTTTGGCCAATTAGTTGGTCTTTTTTACTTCCAAGCTCTTTATTTTACTTACAAGTCAGCACAAACCAGAGTAGGAGAATTAAACCTTACAAACAGAGGATCTGTGAACGCCTACCAAGCTAAGCAAACCTGAGCATCCAGGAAACGAATTACTAGTCCCTTGATGCTGAACGCTATTTTGACAAAAACCTCTCAATTCACCAACTATCAGAATTCATGCAAGCACCCTAACCCTGCTTAAGTATTCATGCATTGCCTTAACTCCCTTTTCAGCAAACAAAAATTAAATTCCTCTAATTTTAAGAGAATAAAAAAGGCTAATATTGGAGACAAAGAAAAAAGAAGAAGAGGGAGAGATTACATTATAATCTATGTTTCTGTTTACCTACAAAATGGAGAAATTCAGTATCATAGAATACAAAATAAAATCCAGGGTGTAGAGGCAGCCTCAGACTCAAGGGGCACAACCAGTTTCAAGGGGGAAGTTAACTACCCACTGTGGGGGAAGCTTTGGGGATTTACTAGAGGCTGTGCTGAATTCCTCATCACTGGAAGAACTTAATACATACATTGCAATTCTACCAAAATTACCTTGCAATTCACAACAGGTCCCAACAGATGAGGCAGACTGTCCATCACAGATCCCTTCTGCCTTTACTGCACGATGTCTTTTTTCTTAGGCTATGCCACCACTGTCATGTAACTAGACTATATGATATTGGTTTTAATAATGCAAGCAGTTATGTGCTCAGAACAGAGGGAGGTGATTTTTTAGCCATTTACATAAAAAACAAATAATCTCTCATAGCTAGCATACATATTTTGACAGAGTATTACTTCTACGGTACAAGGCAATGCACAGTAATTGCTTTCCATTTTTGTAAGTCAATTATATTTATAAAGTCACCCTGTGTATATAACAAGATACCTTAATCCCACAAAATATCAGTATCATTATACTGTATTTTCACACGATAATGTGCTATTTTGATTGAATCTTAAATCTAATTCATTAAAGATACTAAAAAGGTTGAAATTACACAATCCAACCATGTCCTCAGTACACAAACAGATCCAAAGCATCACACTGCAGTGAACAAAACCTGAGTTTATCAGCAGGTTTAAAGCCTTGATTTCCCCCCTCACATTTCAGAGCCTGAAAAGTCTTCTCTGTACCAGGAATTGCAAGCTGGATGTGGAGGTTTAAGAGACAGGAGGAGAGTGGTAGCCCTCCAGCCTCAGTGCCTGATACCTAAGAGTCTAGTGTCCCGTTTGCCAGAGGCCTTGGCAGGTTTTGCTTAGTGCTTTTGAGCGGGGAATGTCCCCAAGGAGAGGGCCTGGCTGGTGACAGAGCTGGGCTGCCACCTGCTGGAGCGGCTCTGGCATCCGCGCCCAGAGCCTGGGGACAGAGCCCACCAGGGACACAGGGAGGGAAACGCCAGCCCGGAGCCTCAGCGGGCTCTGAGGGGGGCGTCAGTCCCGACCACAACAGAAATAACTGCCAATGTGGGGGAAAATAAATAAATCTTTTACAATAATACCCTCCAGCATCTGAAACAATCTGCATCACCCACATCACATTTTTGTATTCATCACTTCGTAGAGCCTCGCAGGTCACCTCCGAGCTTTCATGTAGGTTTTTAAGCCACATACGTTGCATGTGTAACTCAGATCAGGAAGATCTGGTCGGGTAGCACTGCGGTACAAGCTCCTTGGGCTGCAGCGCAATAAATACTCGTTACTGAGAAGATCAGTGTCAAGTTAGATGGGCGGATCTGGTTGAAACACACAGGAAAACAGCAGCAACTCCAGCCACCACTGCTACTGATGGCAGGAAGCTGTTAAAACTAGGGGTTAACAATTTTAAATCGTTAAGGTCAATGATTGTAACACTGAATTTACAGAACTGCTTATGAAAAGCAGTTTTACAAAACATTAACAGCTTGGGAGGTTATCCATAAATAAACATATGAATATTTTTTCCTGTAGGTCACACTTCTGCCTTGTTTTCAGTTTTATTTCCAAATAAAGAATTTGTTCGAGCTGGAACAGAGGATGCATCAACAAACAACATCAAAATGGTGCATCTGTCCCTTAGGTAGCAAACCCAACAATATATTGCAGATTCTCAAGATTACATTTGTCTATATTCAATAGTAGCACTAATAGTGTAACACTTCGAAGTCCAAATTAGTAACTGAAAGCGTTACATCACAAAGATCCTTGCAATGACAAAAGGAGGAACTCAGTGATCTTATTCTTTTGATACAAATCAGAAACTCTTTAAAAAGTTTATCTTTTTTTTTTTTAACCAGTAAAATAAAGGAATTCACACCAACAGGTGTGAATCACGACAGGTAAAGGGAATCTGTTTCATCAGCTTCACTACAGCAATAACCGTAAGCTACAGACATAACCAGAGGTAAAAAGTAACCCTCATACCTTAAAATTTTAATAGTCAGGAGTTTTATCTAGACTTACCATATAAGCAACATCACACCAAAACCCCTGGCTATTGCTTTAGAAATTAAGTACTAAAGATTTATATTTGAAGGAGAACAGTTATGAGACTGATTTTCACAGAACAGCCTAAAACAGGGGAATGAGCTTAGTACCTCAAAAAGAGCACAGAAACAGTGTTGTTCAACTGAATATACTTTTGAAACATGTAAATAAATAAATAAATCTATGAAACAACTGTCACTTACTCTGTGTGGCCCTGAAAGACATTCACAGAATGGATAGAAGGATCTCGGAAATCCCACAGACGGAAGGTTGTATCACGAGATGATGTCACCACAAGACGCTGGGTGGGATGTGTACAACAATGTGTTAGCTCTTGGTCATGCCCTACAACCACAGATGGAAACACATAAGGTAACGAAGTAAGACTTTTCATACATACATACATTTGGGATGAAATGCTGGTAAGACAAGTTTATATTTTCCTTTTTTTTTTTTTAACTGCAAAATAATAATTGCTCTGAATTCTATCATTACTGTTGTCACACAAGGCAAGAATTACATTTAATAGCAAAATACACTATTACTTATTTCACATTATCAAGTGACTCTAATTTACTGCTACTTAATATATCAGTACAGCAGAGGCTAAAGCACTTGATGCATCACATGCTCAGAAGAACAAAAATTCATACGCAGTACATTCCCACGGTTGGGATTTTAGAAACCACTATGGCTCTAAGCAGTCGCTTAAGCCTTGTGTCTGCTCCTCTCCTGCTCCAGAGGGGCAACTGACAACAACCCAGTGTTTCAGTATTGGCAAATAACGCCCCCTCCACATAAAATAAATCAGCAATTTTCCCTTTTAGTGAGTGAAAGGATACCTGTGAGAGAATGGACCAGTTCAGAGGTCTCTACATCGTACAGATTGGCTGTCCTGTCCCAGGAAGCCGTCACAGCTTGTTTCCCCCCAACGAGCCAGTCAGCTGCTATGACCACCCCTTGATGGCTTTTGAGGGAAGTGAGCGGGACTCTGACAGTGGGACAGTCACTAGAACCGTCTCCGTCTCCCTCAGGTTCATCTTTATCCGAGAACTCAATTTCATCTTCTCCTGACACCTGCTGTAAAATGCAAGAGAAAAAGTATTAATAAATGGAGAGAGGTGTCTATAAATTACATATTACAGTACTTCTCCACCCCCTTACACTAAGCCTGGGTGATGTCATTCTGCAGAATCCATTCTCTTTAGACATGCACTATCACACTATCAAGTATTATCACAGAACAGACTTATGCCAGAGCTAAAAAGTCTGGAAGAGTTTTTGCAAGGAAGAATTAAGTCACTTACTCACATTGCCCCTGCAGTTGTTTACCCAGTCGTTGTATATTCCCCATTCTGCATTACTCTCGAATTTCCTATTGAGTACACACATTGATGGATTTTTTTCCCCTTTATATTTTTAAAGGCAGGATACCTCTAACATGCTGCTGATCATCTTTAATCTTTGAGAAGACAATCTTTCAGAGTCATATTTTATCCATCAGAATGAAAATCATATGACATCAAGATTTGTCTGGTGGCCAAAAGATCAGCATTGTCTGACAGAACGGATAAATTATCTTCCTACACCAGGAAGTACCAGCCTCTAAACCTTACCTGTTTCTAACGCCACTTCTATTTAATACACTTCTTTTTCACTTTTTTTGTGAAAGAGATAACATTTGTACTCCTTTTTCAATACAGAAATGCTGTATTACCAGTTTTCTGTCAGGAGTGTAACCACATCTCTCATATTATACTCCCATCTCTCACCACTGTACAGCTTACCGAGTAGCTCAAGCTATAACCTACACTAGTGTTCAAAGTTTAATGCAATAATTTGAGTCAAATGTACAATTTGACAGTCTATTTGACTGAACAAGTATCTAGGGAGAACAATGGCAGATAGTATGATGTGAGGTAGGGTAAGCATAGTGAGGATAAATTAGAAATCAAATTCAGTGCTATAATTAAGCAGATGCCAAAAGTATGAATCTTTACCATCAGTTTTCAATACACTATAAGCAATACACGACTCAAATGTCAAACTACCAAAATCTGAGTAATTTAAAGAGAACTTCACTATTCTTTAAGACCTGGATTATTACAAACAAGTTGCACTTGCCACTTCATTTACTTAAACATTTATCAGCTTGAGCAAGAGAGTCAGTTAATGCACTTGCAGATTCTGCTCTGCACCACACATTTTAGGAATATGAAACTTTTTTGAAGGAATAACACTGAAATGTATCAGTTCAACTAAAATCTTCAAGCCCCACCTGTTGCAATCATGCAATGATGTAATTTTTTAATTATGTAGAAACTTAACATTCAGTCTTATCATAACACCTATATCTGACGAAATTGCTGTGCATTTAGTTTATTCTCCATAAGCTGATTGCTTACATTGCAGTCTGCAGTTGGCTGAGGTGTAGGCAATTGCACTATGTATCTCCAGATGTGAGCTGTCTGGTCTCCAGATGCTACAGAGGAAAAAGAAGAAAAAGAAAAAGAGGGGAAAAAAAGTGGAAAAGAAGGAGAGAGAAACTAAAATTGAGTATTGCCACAAACAATAAGAACAAGTCTTATGTTACAGATGTGGCAATAGCACCCAAGATCACATCTTTCTCTATCAGTTACTTCTATGACCTTTTTGGCAAGCAAGTTTCAATATTAATGAAATGGTTACTTTGTTAGCTTCAAAACAAAGAAGACCAGACTTCAAAATCCAAACTATAAGTAGGTACCAAGTTAATTATTCCTTCAGTGAAATTATCTACCTAAATAGTGCACATCACAACACAGATATCACCATCATTCAAACACATCACGTTGCAGGAAAGTGTTCAATTCATTAGCAAGTACCATCCTTCATTTGCTTTTTTCCTACAATACTGAAGTTTGTCTTCATTCAATGATTTCCTCTATCCAGTGTTTTCAGGCAGTTTTCATGAGGAACCCAAAATAGCAGAAGCAGCAACTCTGCTTCCACCTGAAGCAATTCATCTCATGCAGCAACAGTTACAAGCTCTGCAGGTACCACGTGATTTTCTTCTCTGCTATTATAGGAGACTTAGCCATTAATACATAACAAGAAATACAGGACTCTTTGCCACAGACAAAATAACTATGTTCCTAATACATAAGTAAACAGTGAAGAGGACTCTAGACTGAGGAGAAAACTATAATGTTGTGAATTATGTATTATGGGTCTGCACAGATTTAGCAAGTGCAAGACACATGAAAGGAAATTCTTTAATAAATGGAGGAAAAGGGGTAGAAGAATGTGATCAGCCTTTTACAACTGCTGATTGTAAAGTTAGTATTTTGAGAGCAAAGTGGAGAGTTGTTTACTTTAAAATAGTCTTAAGCCAATCAAGTTACACTGAAAAGCAGGTTCTCTGAAAACTTTCAGTGCAGTATTTTGCAGAATCCACCTTGTGGAAAAATGATAGAAGAACAAGAGTTTAGCTACAAGTGAAGCTTCTGAGTGAGTAAAAGGTCAATCTTATACAGGAACATTTGTTTGGGAACTGCAACCCTGACTACAGTTATCATTTGATAAGAGGAGCTAAATCATTGCTAGCTCAACTAGAAACCATTCTGCCTCCCAGCTTCCTGGGGAGCAGAGGGAAGTGATAACAGCAGTGTTTTAATGTCTACCCTCAGTAATAACTGCCCTCATTTTACAATGATTTGACCTGCCCAATAGCAGAAAATTGAATTCATATCTCTCTAGTCCCAAAGCTAGTGGCCCAATTGCTGGGCCGTACAAATAATATTAAACTGCATTTGACAATTTTCAACCCCAAAGTTGCACTGATAATATTCTAAGAATTGAGAATGCTGTTACACTAACAGCAATACTTCCAAGTTGCTTTTTCTGCATGTCTAATATCACAGTATTTCCCTTCTGAGAAGCTTGCAGATTTCAAAAGGGGTTAAACACGTAATTCCAAGTGTCTGTTTAGAAGAGGTGAGCACAGTTGGCAACAACACGTTAAGTACAAATGGAAAGAGCTGGCTCTCGTTAGTTATGCCTTAAAATATGAAGATCATTTCATCAGCAATGATGAAGTATCAGTCACGGAGAGAAGCTACAAACAGCAGAAAGATGTTAGGAAATGACACGCTTATTTTCCCATTTACAATTAACATAGTATGCAAGAAAATTTACATACCTGTAAGAGCCACTTGCTCAGTTGGATGAAACTTTATTGAATTTACTGTGTAAAACAAAGCAAAGTATTAAGCAAGTAATACTGAGAAAAAAAAATCAGTGTTCTATCATGAAAAAAAATTGAGAAATCAGAAAGCTTTAAGCAATTTTTTGCTTAAATCACTTAGGTGATTTAAGTCATAAGACACTGGATTACATACACTCAGGTAAAGTCAGTTAATGACAGATGGCACAATGCACATTTTCTAACAAACTATTTTATGAACCTAGCATAAACAGTGCTCATCGTAAAGAATGAAAAAGCCCACACTAGGGTTATTGTGTGTAAGTTGACAGACACAATGCTCTGAACCTCCATAAATAAAACTTAGGTCTTTATAAATATTTCTAATATGATGAAAGTCTACAATATACAGAGACAGATAGATAGACAGATACATTGACTACTTGGTTATGGCTAAAAAATGCAAGAACAAATGCCTAAAAACCTAATTCTAATAATGCAAACTAGGTTTCACTCCTGAAACCACAAGTAATTGAAAGATGCTCTAAGATGGAATCCTTCAAGAATTCAACTAGCTTAAAAAGATCCCATTCTTTTTTTATTTCAACACATTAAGATTTAATTACTTTTCCTCATCGAGTGCTTTCACTTAGTTTACACTGTTGAAACGTAATTTAAACACTCTTAGTATTTTTATGGTTTCCTAAATAGCAATTAAAACAAACAAAAAAATAAATGGAAGTACTGAAGTTTTAAAACATGTTTTTACAGATGCCAACATTACCCTCAGCATATAGCCCGAGACCTTAGCTATGTGAATGCTGTCAGATTAAAAAGTCTGACTTAAACTGGTAACTGATGTTGCTGTGCATCTCTCCCTAGGCCATCAGCATTATCTGTGTTTCAGGAGCTGAACTCACATAGCGGAGAAAGTGCAACTGATGGGTCAAGCAGCTGCCACTCTCCAGAGACCTGAATTCTATTGACCTCTTTGCCACAGAGGTCATGTAATACGCTGAATTAGTTAACCAAATACTTCAAGTCAATGACCATTCCTCATTTTCCAGGTGCAAGACTCAATATCCCATGATATTTACTGCAATGAAGCTCTCCATCCAGAGTGGATTTTTTTTTTTTTTTTTTTTTAAGTATTCATATTGCATTGAGGAAGACAAAACACCAAGAGCAAGATTTAAGTACTATGCAAGAAGTTATACAAAGGACTGCATATTTAACAACAAAGAATAAGTAGATACTGACTCAGCAATTAATTTCTACCTCAAAACACAGACCCTGTGAAACAACCAAGTGGATTATATAAGGCCACTCATTCCACATACCCATGAAAAGGACAATGAATTCTGACTTTTTACTAAGTCCATTAACTGCGTCTGTAAATTTAGTCTACACATAATTGTTTATTCACTTACTACCTACAAAACTGACCTAACAGACTCTCTAAATAAAAAAAAAAAAAAGCGCCTTCTGCATGTGAATGTTAATGGAATTTTTACAGTTTACTTGTTAATGATGTTGGCAAATCTTCAAGTAACATGACTATAAACATTTCTGTGGATGTCCAAAACACATTTCCCCTCCCATATGCATTCTGTTTCCTGTTTTTGCAAAATAACCTTATCTTACCTGAACCGACGTGCCCCACGTACTTGACAAGGCACTTTCCTGTTTCTATGCTCCACAGCAACGCAGTGTGATCTACGGAGGTTACAAAGTAGATAAACATTGTTATATAATATTGCCCAAACATTTTTCACTTTTAACTCCAATTCAAAAAACAAGTTATCTCTGAATATAAATGACAACACATAAAACAACTTGTCTAACAATATCACCTTGTATATTAAAGTAACTAGTCCATAATTATAAGCTTCCACACGTTAAAACTTAATAGGCACATCTCAGAAGTTCCATTAGGATTACTTTGTTATATTGAAAGGTAAATTCTACTTTTACTATTTTTTTTTACTTGGGTATATAGTTATCCATAACACTTTTTCAATCTCATGCTATTCAACTGGAGCAACACCAAAAGTAAGGGTAAAAAACTACATCACTCGCTACAAACTGGAGTCCTACACACAAACATACTGGCTTCCTGCATAAAACTAATGCATATGGGCTACCGCAGAGCACCACATGAGTTTACTTAAAAGGAAATCACTCCAAATGCCACTCCTTTGCCCTACCACACTCCAAAACAAATAACTCCAGTATGTTTAAGTATAAAGTACCTGAATATTGAACAGGAAAGTGGCTACTTTCAAGTCAGAACTCAGGATAAAGACAGAATGTTCCCCATACCTCTCAGAACACTTACAAAATAAGCACCCGGTTTATCAAGCAGAAGTTTCTGCTCTATAATATTCCCACCCAGTGTCTCCAGATTCTGTTGCCGTTAGAACTGAATTGCCACTTCTAATTGATCAGATCTAACTGGCCGTGATTTATTTTCCTAGCATTCTTCCAAATCCATACATCCCACAGATTGGGTTTTTTTGGAATCACTGAAACAACTAGCACCTTATTCGCCTTATTTTTAGTAACTGTCCCTACCCCTTAAGAGGGGCTCTAATAAGACAAATAAGGAATTTTAAGTTAAAATTTTTAGTTGCCTATATAACCCTATGCAACGGCCTAAAATAGAACAGAAGAACATGAGAATATAAGAATATGCAAATTATGGCAATTTAGTCCATGACTTCCATAAAATAAACTAATACCATGATAGGAAGCCTGAGGGGAGCTCTGTACAGGGTGATAAAACATTTTGTATCAAAGGTCTCTCCAAGCAAGAAGCTCTGCGAACTACACACACCCATTCAACTGGGCTGGGCTAGGCTAGGGCGATTCTATGCAGAGATCTACATGTTAAGAGGCAAGTAATTAGAAGGATCAACAAGCACGCCAGAACTTTCTAAAGCTATAATCAAACCGATGTAAAAGAAAATAAATAAATAAAAACCTTAAGAATTCTTAAATGAATCTTTCAGAAATATATTTGTAAACTACAGAAGTCAGTTAAATTAGCAATTCTTAAAAACTTAAGACTGATAATAAAAGCTCAGTTGAGACACTATGGTGCTCAAGTATACTTTTGATCTATTTCTGCTATTATTTATAGCAGAAACCAGAATATTCTTAAGATTCAAGCAATGCAAGACTGTACCTGCAGACGCAGTCCCCAAAACCACTGGTTGAGTTTTTGCGACACTGACATCCCAAATACCATCCCTGTGGCCAACATACTCCTTCACCAGCTGACAGATGGCCCTTGATGTTGTAGTTTTAAAACTCGATACAATCTGAAACAGCAGAGATCATCACAGTTTTTTTCCGCATTCAAGATTAAATGACTTATCCCCCAAATATGCTGCTCAGTGTTTGCTACTTTGACAAACTATCTTTTTCCCTATACAGACTCCTCTACTTTCTAACAACTTGCTACTGTCAGCAATTTGGCATCTGATGGTAGGAAAATGAGCTTGAAACCAAACACACTACCTCAACACCTAAATGAAATTGATTGTTCAAAAAAAAAAAGAACATTATATATTATTTTGAAGAAAGTTGTTTAAAACACCATGTTAAAATTAGACAAAAAACAGGATTTATCAGCATTTTTCTTCACATGCAATTACAGGGAGGTATCTATCAAATGGATTAAGTAAGAACCTTTAAATGCTGTAACACAAATCACATTAAGACTTGCCTACACCATTGCAAACAGTTAACATATGAAGTCTACACTTCACACAGAATAAAATAAGGACAAATTAAGGATAAAATCCTATTAGTATATGGTATCAAAAGGGAAAAGTAGGCCTTAAACATGCCATTAAAAACAAATTACTTCAGAAAAGTTTTTTAAAAGCTAAGAACTTCTGTCTGAGTATTCCAAATTGCAAGCATGTCAGCTCTGCAATGATGAAATGATAATGCCCCATTCCATTCGAAAGCCACATTAACAGTTAATACACATTGCAGCCTCATAGCAGCACACGCAACAATCTTCAGGATGAATTGAAAAGGAAGTGGGTTAATGGTAAAGATTATTAGCTCCGCTGTACAACCAAGTTTTATAAGCCTTGAAGACAACCCTATGGATGCAACTTCACACCGAGTATCTGTCTTAAACCAAATGGGGACTTTTATGGGAAGTGGAAGAGCAGCAGTGATCCTTAACTGCTGTTAAGGCTAAAACAACTCTCAGTGCAAATTTCAAACTTGAAGCTTTTCCAGCCCTAGTCTACATCCTGCTTTTCAGGCAAACTCCACTGACAAAACTTGCTCAAGTGAACTTTATCTCCTGTTCAACAACAGATTTTCCAAGAGTGCTGGACAGAGCTATTACCAACCAACCATTCTGTGCAACAGCCACTCCAGCTCCATCTGGATTATCAGCAGATTCAAATAAACAAAGGAGAAAGAAGTTCAAAATGCTACACGGGGTTTTCTTGATTATTTTTCTCCCATCCCACAGTTAACCTACCAGTAACTAGACAGTCTCTGAATTACTTCCTGGGTCCTTAAAATTGTTTATGAACAACTTTTCAAGGAAGAAGGGAATATTTGAATACCATACAACTTACTAAACACTATGGAAAGTGTTGATGGTTTTTTTCGTTTGTTTGTTTGTTCTGTTTTTGTTGTTTTTAAATGACTTTAGTAGATCTTGGAACATCATATAATAATGCTGGGTGTACTATAACACCTAGAGTGCGCTTCAGCAGTCCTCTCTCAATATATTTCACAAGCTAAATATATTCTGCATTTGGACACTCTTATTTCATCTAAGGGCTGAAAAGCATCCAGATTTGAGTATTCTCCTTACTTTGATTCTAGCTTGATTGCCTCAATAGTTTCCTCAAGAAACTATGCAGGTTGGAATACTTCAGTCTCAGCACATTTATTTTCAATACAGCAATCAAAGACCAGTTTTATAATTAGAAGAAACAAATGTTTAGAGCAAACCTAAACTGGAACAAACCTAAACTCTTTACAGATTGGTAATCAGAAAAAAAAAAAGTAGTCTTGTGCAATTACACCAACCAACTTGTTTTGTAAGACTTACGTCCCTTCTAATCTACTTCACAAGGAAGAGAAAAAAAACAGCTGACTTATGACAACTTCAAAAGTTAGGTACACAGAGACAGTATATGGGAGAGGTACAAGAGCTCAGTTGCCATCACTACCTAATTTGATCTGAAATCCAACTCATTTTTGGTGAGCTTCAACCCATGAAGCTCATCTTCACAGGTACTGACATTAGGAAACTTTAATTGCACTCAGATAAACAGACAAAGCTCATAGTCTCTTTGGACTTGAGGGCCCAAACACCACAGCTGTTGAACTCTTCTGAGCAGGAAGGAGGCAGAGGCCCAAACACAACCATTTTCCTCTAGCTACAGGAAGGGCCTGAACGAAGGACGGAGCAGAGAGAGATGCTCTCAGCTGAATCTTCCTCCTCGCCTCTTCTCTCTGGCTCCCAATAATGTCCAGCTCAAAAGTGCAGGAAGAAAGATACCAGCACGCTTAAAACCCTGCTCGTTACCAACTGATCGAACAGCTCTGGCACCTACAGAAAGTCATCGACTTCGTCACACTGCTCTACTCCTGACTACTTTGCTGCACATCTCAGAATACCTGGAAGCAAAGCAGCTCCCCAGAAATCTCCTGCCTGTACTTCCCAGTTTGCTGAGGCTGCAAGGTCTGCCTGCCTCGCTCAGAGAAGAACACCAGCACTACGGTGCAAGCAGGTAAACGACAAGCACTTAACGCACTTAACAACAGCCCAAACAAGAGAACAAAAACCACTACAGAAAGTGCTGATCTGAAAGTGCTGACCTGTACAACTCATCGTGACACAATGGGTGTACTTAGCATTACACTGTCTCTGGGATAACTACTGAAACAGTTTCATTAACAGATTTGTAGGTCATTAATTACTAAGAAAAAAATGAAGAGTTGCCTCCTATCTATCAGTTTGAAAAGAATTTGAAAAAATAAAAAAGATCACCAAAGAAAACACAATAACTAGGAGAGTTTACAGCACCCTTTCCATACCCACATATTTTGAGACTACTTAATAGATTGTACTTCCAAAGCACCTAAATTCACTCTAAACCACTCTATAACCACAGATTAGGTAGAAAAAGGGGGAAAAAATATACCAGATGGATCAAGATGAGTAAGAAAAACATGACAAGTAAATATGTAAATAGGCAAAAGATGACATGGAATTACTAATTTGCAAGGTCTCATGATGCCAAGGAAACAAACTGCTCTGCTCTCGCAGCAGCAATTCCTCTCTCACGTCTCAAAAACAGTCAATCATCACCAACCCAACCCTCCCTGTAACAGACCACCGTCTATACAACATCTATAGTTCCCTACCTAAATCCCTACTTCAGCTACAAGGCTCAAATCTTTACTCAGAATTTCACCAGCTAAGTCTTCCAGAAGAGCATTACTCAGCTTAGAGATAGCGTGATTTACAATATCAAGAGAGCTGTGCTAACCTCGCGAGTACACATCAATGGGCAAAGATTTAACTGTCTCATACCTTGCTAGTAGATGCTTTGTAAGTTGTCTTTAACTTCTGAGAAAGCTGACTGGTACTATGACTGGCTGTGGAGATAAATTTAAAGAAAAGTATTTCAAATACAACATTAACTTATTTTATACCACAGTATTGGTTCCTTTCAACAAGGTTCCCCTCAATATACTTTTATCAGCCACTAGTTTAGGTTCTTTGTGCTTCTTACCTTTTGTTTTCAGTTGTCCTTTGCTTAGTTCAGCTCCATCAATTGTCTGTCCTTCTGCTGCTAAACGCTCATTAAGCGTCTCAATCTCTCTGCGTACTGACAACAGCAGGAAAATTCACATTAAGGTAAAACATCAAATAAATAGCCTTTCCAAATTATTATGATTACTTACTAATCTACTTTAAGGATATGAAGGGATATACAGAAGCAATTCTCCCCAAGATACAAGCTAAGTCTCACAATGAATTTTCCAAAGATCAGCCTTCACCCAGATTCCAAGGAAAGTACTGCTCACTTCTAATCACTGTTACTTTTACAACTGAATGGGACTTAAGAGTAATAAAATGGCTTCTATAAAATGACACACCTGTATTGATTTACACTCAACACAAGGCAGAAAGCTAACAGCAGAGAAAGCACGAGCCAATTAGCATGACATTTCTTGACAAAGATTTTATTAATCATGAAATACTGCACCTCCTGAATGGTTGTCTATCAACAGCACTTAAAAAAAATGCAACAAAAAGTAACAAAGATGAATCTTTTTTATCAATCAAAATATATCAAAGAAAAAAAAGAACAGAAAAAAGGATTCGACACGGGCATATTTCACCTGAGTGCTTTTTCACTCCATTGTTTTAGATATGTGCAACCAAAATATTTTGGCAGTAAGTACTCTTGTTGCAATAAATGCTTTCAATTAATCATAACTTTCATCAGCAAAATATGAAGACATAGCTGACCTAGCTAAAACCAGTTAGGTACTCATAGATGGAGCCAAGCCTACAGCAGGGAAAAGGGGAAGCCAATTCTGCTTCTTCGACATAGCTTCAGGGAGGATGACACACACTGGTCCTCACTACTTGCAAAGACAGAAGAAGGTGATTTTTCTTAAAAAGGACAAAAAACCTCCTTTGGCAAGAAGTTCAAAGCTATTCTTAAGCTCCTCACAAAGAAACTATATTAATTTTGTTGTGATATCCAACGTAAGCTTTTCAACTAGCTCTATTAATCCCTAAGTCCAAATGGCTTTACGTTGCTGGGAAAAATATACTTACGTTCCAAATTTTCAATATAGAGGTTTTCAAACTCGCGCTCTATTTGCCCAAAAAGTTCAAGAAGTGTATTCCGAACAGCAGAAGGCAGTTTAGAATCCTAGAAGGCAAAATATTGGGGTTTTATCTGCATCTGTTTCAAGTTTTAAGTACTTTAAATTATAATTTAATATAAATGTATCTGTAAAGATTCCTCTGTGAATAGAGTACAACTTGCAAACCAGCAAGTGCATTGAAACCTCACCAAATTTTATTTTTCCCTTACCGTATTTGTGTTTTCCTTTCACTACCTAATCCTTCCCTCTGCAGCTATTACTCAAGGATTACCTCTTCACAAAATATATTTAAAAACAAATTGAGCTTTTTTTTCTTTAGCATAATCACTATAGCAATAAAAGGTACAAAAGCAAATAGATGATAAAACCATCAATGCAATGCAGGAGATAACTGATAGTAAAAGGGTAATTGGGAAAAGCCAGTACTTATAATCGACTTTTAAACTGTCAAAGTTGAAAGCATAGCATGCTATTAAAAATGACAGGTGAGAAAGGAGAAAATACTGTCACTAGCCTTAGAGTCACTAATAATTGCAGTCAATCCACTAACTGGCTAATCTATAAGTATGGATCCAAGGATGAACTTGCTCACCGAGTAAATCAATTCTGCTAAATATTCTTTTCTTCAGTTGTCAATGGGTGGCAATATACAAGTTGACTTGCTGCATTTATTGTTTATCTAGTTAGTCAACTATACATACTTAAAGAGAAGCTTCCATCTAACTGAGTTCCCCTAATAACAACAAAGCTTAAGTACTCCTCAGCAGGACAGCTAGTATTCCGTTTGTCATCTCAAAATACAGTAAGAGAGCAGCTTAGTACCGGACAAGTCTGCAAAAAGGTGCAGTCTTATTCAAAATCTGAGAAAAATCTATGCAGAAAAATGTTACCAAAACTCAAAGACAAGTAATAAAATATCTATCTCAAGAATCCTAGGGAAAGGTTACAGGGATTGTGCCTGTTTGCAATGGCTGTTTTTTTAAACACAATTCAGAAGTAGACAATTTCAAAGTCTTAAAATCATCAAGTATGAACAAGAAAGGAAACTGAGACAGTTTGTCTCAATGCATATCATCCATGTTTCAGATCTGGAAAGGCAGAAGAACAACTAAAAGTGTAAATAAAATGCAAGTGTAAGTAAAAAAGTAAATGTAAGTAAATATAAATAAGAATGTTAATACTGGATATCACGTAAATCACAGTGAACTTAATTATTTCAGCGCAAGTTTCAGGGTGGTTACAGCTTGTTCTATTCTGAAGCGCTCCCCTAAAAAGCTTGATCCAGAAGAAAACAGTTCCATATGTAACCAAAGCCCGAGTTATGAAAAAGCACAAGCATAAGAGCCATTAGAGGGCAGCATGTGTCTGAGTAAGCCAGCATCTAAGCAATTGGAATTTAACCTCACTCATGTTTTGGTTCATGTGTAACATGACTGTCGTGAGAAAAAACACAGAAAATGCCATCATGATCATACTTCCATATCAACCAGCTAACATATTTCAGTATTAAGTTACTCCGAGGCAACAAGCTGCAAAAGAAGTGCAAGAGAAGCCACTAACAGCCATAACTTGGAACATGTAACACGTTGTTCGTAACTCAGCCTTACATCAGCTTTGGGCCTGCTTTAAGCTGACAGAAACAGGCACTGCTGCCAAAAGAAGGGCTCCGATGTTCTTTGAGCCCCCAGTTATTAATTTCTCTTTCTTCTGCCTCTCGGTTGAGCCAGTACGCTCATTTGTGCGCCCCCAATAAACCAGAATGTGAAGCAGATCCGGACTAAAATCAGCTTGGGACGAAGTCAATTGAAGAAGAATACTGTAGAAATGAAATATTATTTAAACATCGGAATTAAAAGACTTTTCTGATTCAATTACCCAGTACTTCCTTATAACAAGATTACCAAAGAGACCAAGCTCTCCTTGAGCTTTAGAAATACAGAATGACATGTTGGAAAGGGTTTTGAAGTCTCTTAATGACTCAAGGTGCACATAAATGTCAATTTGTCTAAGTAGTCAACATCATAAAATGCATCCAGCTGCTTTACTCATTTCTAAGCTTGCATTAATTAGCAGGTTAAAATATGATGCAACAACTACTTTTGCAGATAAACAGATGATATCATCTTGATTTAATGTGTTTTTTTACAGCTCCGTTGTGGAGAAAGCATTAATGTCCTCTCCCTACCAGAGGTGGCAACCAACTGTTCAAAGTTAACAAAACGAAATAAGCTGACACATAAAACATTTATTCTGTCAACAAAAAGGTTTGTGGCGTGTGATATTAAATACTAAAATAGCTTAATATATTTTATTTACTATATGAAAGGGTCAGTAGGCCTTCACCTCTCTGCTGTCCATCATTCCTTTCCTAAAGTAAGGCTGTAACAGTCCAAAAGCAAATACTGTTTTCTATACAGTAAATATTTACATTCTCCAGCTTCCAGATGACTGGAAGCAACAACTTTGGCTCTGTCAGTTTCCACAAAACTAGTACTTTAATCAACTAAATAACAGATTCAGTACAAAAACCTGCCACACCACAGACAGAACACATTTCCCTTGAGAGCATCTGAAGGCAGCCTACAGGAGAACGTGTGGTTTCTCGTAACATAACATTGTCAGTGTTTCAAAGCACCTTGCTGATAAGAATCAAGTTTTACCTCATCTTTGCTAGGCCCCTATTAGCCTAATGTGTTCAATTTGACAGCATATAATTTTCCAAACCACCACTTGCTTATCATTATCAGCACTACTTCAAACAGCATTCCTACAGGAGCTTTACCTCCTGTTAATTTTGACATCTTTCAGTGAAGCATTCAAACTGGCTCTAAACTGTGGCCCTTACACAGATTAGGAAAACTGAGAGAATTTTGTGGTTCTTGATACTCTAAATTAAGTGCCCCAAAGATTCACCAGATGTTTGCATCGGGGGACCTGAGCAGGGTGGAGAAATGGGCTGCTCATGCAGCTGAGCAAAGGCAAATGTAAAGTCGTGCACTAAGGAAGAAAATATCCCTGCAAATACAGGGCCAGACTCTTCTTGGTAGCATCCAGGAACAGGCCAGGAGGCAAGAGGCACAAAATGAAACACAGAAAAATCCATCTGAATATAAACACTGCTTCAGATGCGAGTGGGATAGAGCACTGAAGCAGCTTGCCCAGAGAGGTTGTGGAGTCCCCATCCCTGGGCTTCCTCAAAACTCTGCTGAACTCCTGGAAAACCTGCTCCAAGAATACAGGGAAGTTGGACTAGGTTGAAAGTGACCTCTGAAGATCACCGCAACTGTTCTGTGAAAGTCACATCTGTATTTAAGCCAAGTTCAATACATAAATGAATAAATAAAACCACAAGCAAAGAAGCAAAGTTACCTCATACTTCTAACAAGCAGGGGGTATTTAGGGTAACTTTTTATTTTATGGAAAGGAATGTAGAATAGAGTTCCCACCAAAGCCTGCCCTGAGTCCTAGTAACATGTTCTTCAGTTTATCCATACTGATGGGCTAATATGATTACTAATTCAAATTTATGAACTCAAGAATCAGTCTTTAACTTAAAGAGATGAGGAACGGAACTGCAGTGAACTAAGTAGGGTATAATATTGTAATTGCTTCATTACTTAAGTCTATTTAATTTCCCAACATAAAAAGTCGTTACACGAGGGTTAACAGAGTTACCAAAGCACCAGCTACCTTACCTGCCCTTCCAACATGTCTCTCTGCAGTCCTGCCCGTTCTTGCTCAGAACTGTTGGTTCTTCGAATTGACAGACTGTGGGATTTTCGTTTCTGCTTGGCCTGGCGAGCAGCTGCACAACTTCCACTTTCTATTGGCATTACTTCAGCAAGATAACTGCACAGGGGCTCCTAGGATAAACTAAGGATAAGTACGACATGTTACAAATTGCCTTGCCAAGGTAAGCAGGGTTTTTCTTCCTCAAAATGGAAATATTTAGGTCTGCTGAATTTCAGAGTTTCTTGGGGTGTCATTAACCCTTCCAAGGAGGAGGGATTCCTACTACCTACAGCTATGCTTAAAACAAACTAGAGTTCAAAAATACATATGTAGACACGTAAATAGAGGATTGAACCACTTCTGCATTACTTTTTCCATTACATTTCATTCCACAACAAACTTTCACAAAAAAGGAAATAAAAGCTATTACCTTGCTATTGAGCAAGCATTTTGGTGAATAGTAGCAGTGACAGCCCCAAAATGCTTCCAGGAAATAAACATAAAGTCAGACGTACTATACTGCACTGAAATGCATGCAAAATTAAAACCCAGCTGGAAAATGAAAGCAAAGAGACATAGTAACTTTGGGACACTGTCAGGTTAAAGTATATTATGCAACATTAAATGGCACTATACAAAATTTAATAGACATTTCCTTATTTACATATATATTGAAATTTAATTTTAGTGATAGAAGTTTTGAAAACTAATTTTCATTGTTTTGTGAGAGCTCATGGTTTTGCTTGCTTAGAACATGTGCTTGACTTACCAGGCCATGAGTCAGCTTGCACACATTCAGTAAAGCCAAATATGCATCTTAATACTCTTAAAGGCACCTGACAGTATCACCAGCTAATAACACCATGCATTTCCCTGAATTCCCCTGTTTTAGGAAAAAAAATCAAATTATGCTTGATTTATTGAATTTTTTAAAAAATGGAGAATATGTTCTTTTCTGCCAAAGTCTTAACAGATACATAATTTCTGTATATTTTTGAAAATTAGAGCTGGCATTCAACAGCAAATATTTTAATTTTAGTTTTGTGGAGCACCAGTTGTTAAGCACTTCAAATGTTTTAATATTTATTATTTAAAAACTTTCCAATCCTGAACATTGAGAACAACAAAATAACAACAACAACAACAAAAAATCTCCAGCATAAATGATTTCTGAAACAACAATTACAACTGAAAATAGCTGCAATCGTCTGCAGAGAAATAGGAGAGCAGAGTTGGCAAAGCTGAAAAGGCAACTGAGCTTCCTTTAAGTAAGTTGACCAGAGAAAGTTTTAACCATACCCATGGCCACTTGCAATTCAAGATCACTAGACCTCAAGCTAGGAATGAGCACCATCACTATTAAAGAGATTCAGCATCAACAGGTTCGGTGTCTTTAACACGACAGTCTCAGCTTTTTAATATATCATAAAGCCAAGGAAAAGTGTAGCTTGCTAGAAAGAGCGTGAGCCATGAATGAAATGACTTTCACTTTGGACTGTTTTTTTTATATCATAAAATGAAAATATGAGACTAACTTTAGGTAAGGTTTTGATGTGAATCTTCCTGTATAAAGATCTGGTATTTTTTAATTAGTTTTTAGAATATCCGAGTCAGTTAAATACTACATGCTGCAGTAACCTGACATCAGTCCCATAGGAAATTGAAAATAAAATTCAAATTGCATCAGAATCCTGCACTTAACTGAAGTGATTCTGGATTTCACTGGATTCTGTACAGTTCTACCCTGCACCTAATCTCAAAGGAGCTTTTGGCATATTATTAATCAGTAATAAGTAACTGGGCTAAGTTCATAATTTAAAACAAGAAAGAAAAAAAAACAAAACAAAAAAACAACAAAAAGCAGCAGCAATGGCAGTTCTTTCAACAGATTTTTTTTTTCCTTTGGCTGTCATTGTGGCTAGATTTCTCTGCCACAGAAAAAAAGGGATTGAAACAAAATACAAACTTCTTTAAGAAGTCATTGATGATTTCCTGGGCTTCACCAAGTATCCTCCTTCCTTGAGCCTCAGGAACAGGCTTTAAGCCTGTTTAATTCACCACATGTCTGTCTTCTTTGCAAAATACATTCAGATGAGAAAGACATGATTGAAAGACTCTCTTCCACTTCACCCTTTTTCCTATCTCTTGAGAACCACTCTTGCAGCAGCTTCCAGTTCACCAGAACTTGCAGGGTTCAGGATTCCTTTTTAAGGCACAATGCCCACCTGCCTGTGCATACACATACACACATGCATATATACTGCCTGACCTTAACCTACAGAGCTATATATAGACATATAAATTGGTTTGTAACATTTCACTTGAACTCCGTAGAAGATTCAGAGTAAACTAATTTCCAGTCCCTGTGAGAGCCTGGCTTCCAAGTTGTGTGAGTCTTAGTTAACACGAGCTCACGAGCAATATGAAGATACCTTGGACTTTCTCTCCACTATCCATTATTTTAATTTGGTCACCTTCCCTCCCATGCTCTATTGCCCAGTCACCTCATTTCACAGGAGCTAGGCAAGAGAGATTCTTCCCTGGATAGCTCTGAGTCTGCAGTTTAGGCAGCCATAAACCAGCTCATTCTACCAGTGGAGAATTTAAAGGGACACAGTCAAAAGCACAGGACTCCATTTTCACATAGCACAATTTTCCCGTAAATTACATTTTGGTTTCTATTTTCATGGTTAGGAAGGAAACAGGCAAGGTTAGCTAAGAAACCCCTCTGATAGTTTATCCATTTGGTAGCACTTGACCCGCAGCCAGGTTCACTGACAGTAACTCCGTCTCCTCATGCAGCAGCAGGACCACATGCACCCATGCACGGGGAGAGCAGCATGCGCAGCCCCGCCGAGCCCTCCGCGAGGGTGCAGCAGCCACAGCGAAGCTGAACCCACAAGGCAACAAGCAGCCACGTGCACACACGGAGTACAAACGGGAAGGCAAAGGGGACTCGCTACATTGGCCTTAATATTATCCTTAAATCCATCGAAGAGGCTTAGAAATTTTCAGTAAGGCAGCAATAATTGAAAATGTTTAAGAATCAAATTGAGTTTAATTCAGATGAGGGTAGGGGGGAATGACAGTGTCCCTTTAAACATCCACATCTCTGACAATTTCAGAACGGTTTTGATCTTGTTAGAAGGTTTCCAAGAGGAGACTTCACGAAACAGATCCTTGGCAATATGATGCTAAAACAATAAATAAATAAGGTGCTCATTTCTAGCAGTTACCTGATTCCCCTTATTATGCAAGGTTTTCAAACAACGAAAGTTACCTGTCCAGAATATCAGTGTCATGTTACATATCCTATGAAAACCACATTAAATATTGATTAGTCAAACAGTCAGTAGTATAAACCAGTCACAGTCTTACACGTTTTTGAATCTTTAGCAGTTAGAATGCAGTTAGGAAAGGGGGGAAGAGGGAAGTTATCAACAGTTTAAGGCTAAGCATCACATCCAAGTCAAATACATGCTAAAAAGCTTCTAAATGATCTATTATAAATTGTTAATCACATATAGATAACTATAACCTCTAAGTGTTTCAACTGATTTCTAAAAAAGATAAATGCACTTCCCTTCTGCTTGGTAAAACTACAGCTAGCATGAATATCACCAGTATGGGACTCTTGTTTCCCAGAAAATCCCTGAAACCATGGAAGTTGAAAGGTAGCATAAAGAATTTACAAGTAAAAAGTCGAAGAAAAATATTTTCCAAGGGGAATGGAGGAGAAGGAAAGGGGGAGGAGGAGTGCTGTATTACTGAACTATATTCAGTTCATCCAGTTTATTATTTAAAAGAGAGCTTATGGGATATATTGAACTATTCTGCTCAATCATTTTGGAAAATGCTATGTTTGCACTGTGTTCTTCAACACAATACTCTGCTAAAGCCTCAAGAGCTAGTAAATAAATTTCAGACAAAGTCAATCAGCAGAAATAGGGGGGAAATGTGTCCCCAAACCAGTGTAGACCACAAGTGCTTACTACATTCTGAATGCAAAGATATTTCAGTATTTCAATTATCCTGTTTTATTAAATTCATAGCACATTTTACTCTGTGCTAAATTAGAGTTCTGCTACCTACCTTTCTGTAAGAGATGTTACCTTGTTTTGAGTCACAGGAAATACTTCCTTGGAGTAGTAGTACAAAACCACACGTGTAACAAAGTACTGTTTTACTCAGCTACAATAAAGAAGTGGCACTGAGCACAAGTGCTCACACCGGTCTCATTAGACTTAAAAACCACCTCACTGCAGCGGTTCTATCTGTACGCAATGAATTCCGCTTGCCTGTGTCTCCTGCTCTTGAACAAGCAAGAGCAAGCAGACTGTGGCAGGGAGGGAATGCCTGGGGTATGACAGCTGCTGAGGCCAGCAACAAAATCTGTTTTATGAAGTGTCAGAGCAGAGCCAGAAATGCTACAGTTCCGCATTTCCTTTTTTGTTCGTTCAGCACAACACAGAAGTCTGCAAACGGATAGCCTAAGGAAATTTCGGCAACATCTCTTACCCAAGATCTCCCTGCACCATTTTGTTCAGGCTTGAGCAATATTAATACTTACCCTTTCGAGGGGTATGTCATAAAACACAAGCAATTTTGCTGTATTTGTGTTTGTTCTTCTTAGATAGTTTCACATCTCGCTTTCAAATATGTTTTAGAACAATATTTGAAAGGAAGGTTTATTACAACAGCCATTATTGTCTTGTGGAAATAAAGCCTTAAGATACAAAGATCAACATATACTTTCACAAGGAGAGGAGGGAAAGGCGAGAGAGGGAGGAATGATAACATTTATGAAGGTCCTAATTACATGCAACTCGGCTTGGTAGCATTAGTCGTGAATCAAAGGAGTTTAAAAATATATATATATTCCTGCAATCTTTTCAAGTATGTAAAGGAATCAAATTTAAAGGAATGAAATTTCCAATTTATGGTCTTCAATGAACAGTTAGTTTCAAGGATGCTATACATTTGCTGTAGTTATTTCGATCAAAGTTTCAAAAACACAGCACACCTGAGAAAGAACAGCCTAACAGACTTTTTGCTAAGAATGGTTATTTGGTCTAAAAATGAACAGGCTGCCCCTATGGTAGGGAAGGACTGTATCAATGAAGTTTAAGCAAATTACACAGCTGAAAATCTGCAACTAAATCTTCAGCACACTAGTGGTTACCTACAAGCATCCGACACCAACACCAAAGCAGCAACCAGGCCAGTTTTCCTGCTGGCGAGCTCTGAGTTTGCCAATTCCACCACTTCAGCAAATATTGCAATCATATCAAAACACAGCACAGACCTACAGCCCGCCCAGCCATCATTACCACAGCAAGGAACACTCTCTCCTTCAGCCATCAGTGAAGCCACTTACTGTAGTTAATGCCAAACAACCACGAAGAGCAAACCTGTGTTTACTGAACGTGTTCAATGTTTTAGCCGATTCAAATGGTACAGAAACAACCGGCTAAACAAATAGGGTGAAATACAGTCTTGCACTTAAGAGTGGTTATTTAGCTATAAGTATATATGAAAACGTGTTGATCAGTATTTCTGATTTTTGACTTTATCAAAGAGCTCAAACAACAACATCCTGCATAGGTTACACGCTAGTGGTTAAATCCCAAAGTATGTCTGAAGTCTGTGGATTTCCTTAGTTGCTTCACAGACATTTCAGTCCTTGCTCCTGCCTTAGCAACTCTCTAATTGCTCAGAGGCAGCCTAGATGCTGGCTGCATGCACAGCTCTGCAAATACCAGACTCGAGGGCGAGGAATCCCAGGAAGTTGGAGTGCTAAGATGGTTTAATCAGAGATTTGTCTCAGGAAGTACTGTGCCTCATTTAGAGGCCACAAACACGCTGCTACTCTCTAAACAAACAACATGCAGGTACTTATTACCAATGCACTACATAAACTGCTATTATCAGCTCTACCATCACTACCCTTCCTTTAGGAATACATTATTTGCTGGTAAATTCATATCTTCTACCACTTAAGACATCCACAAAAGCAATTACATTTGACAGCAGCACTTTTTAGCGCACTTTTGCGGAGCACCAGCAAGTAAGCTCTGTGCAGGCCAGCCCTGCAGCACTTTCTCCCAAAGCCTTTCCGGAGGACGGGCACATCCCCCCGCAGCACATGGAGCAGCTCTGCCGTACCCAGCACTCCCACCTTGCCACATCAGGCTCCTTCTCCAGGCATCCGGCAGGTATTCCTTGAGGATAATAAAACAAGTTACTGTCACCTTCCAGGAGACCCTCCCGCGGGCTGCCCACTCCTCGGTGGTGGCATGTGAAACACGGCTGGCCCTTCCCAGTACAGGGCACAAGCTGCAGCCTCTGCATCGAGCCCCTCACCCTGGCCTTGGCCTCCCTGCCCAGGACAAACTACTCGTGATAAGGCTTAAAAATCTCACACCTTAAACAATCCCAGTCTCATCCCAAATGTACAAGGATGAAGCATTACTTAACTGCTCCCCATCTGATACCTACCAATTCTATGAACGCACATATGAAATTATTCTTTTAGAACATTTCCACTACACTGCAAAGACTCTTCCTACGGCTATATCAGCTCTCCCAAGCACTTCAGTGCGTACAAAAGACCTTGTGCATACAATCCATGTACACAGTCCGTTAAACAAACCCTGCACTTGAGAGGGCACAGCATAAGGTCATGACTTAATATGATGAAAAACCACATCGTAGAAATAAAATCCTTTGGTTTTACTTAATGCACTAAGCCTAATTTGGGGACAAGTGTAAGTCTGTAAGTACAAATTAACAACTGACATTAAAAAAAAAGGGCCACATTTTACAATGTCCTTTGCCTTAAATGCTAAGGTTTGATGCAGGCATCCGTCTTCTTAAAATAATTGACCAAATCCAAGAGTTGCATTTAAAGTTATTACAGGAGGCCTAAGATATGTACAAAAAAATGAGCGCACATACACAAACAGAAAAAAGGAAGTAATTAGCCCATGCTCTGCACATCCTCGTGCTGTTGATGAATAAGCTTCCTATCGCGAAAGATCTTATCTACTATAACTTACATCTAACACAACTGGGGATTCTTGGGGTTACCAATCTGCTTTTAAGAACACCTTGTATAAAGTGATAAAGGTAGACTTGTGTGGAAAGGGGTTTCAGGTCTTTTGTTTAAACAATAGATACTTTACTGTAATATTGCAAAATGACTACTGATGACTCTCGGAACAACTGACATCTGTCTATTCCAAAGCCTTACTCAGTGGCCCTGAAGCTATTCCAGTAGATCTTTACATAAATCCATGAATCACAGTTAA